ACCACATTCTGTGCATAGTATTTTCACAGTGATGGCATGGTGAGTCTTTGGAGGAAACATACTCCTGTCCCACACACAAACACACCACACACACACACACACACTCACCTACTTCTGGATCATAATACATTCAGATGGAATCTCATCCACTGCGCATAAAAGACAGCAATATGAGTCCAACATCTAACTGTAATATTTCAACGGTTTATAAGTAGAGAGGAGAGGGAAAAAGAGCCACAGGCAGCAACTGGGGAAAACAGATACCACCAAGATTTTGCCTTCTCTCGCTCCCTCTTTCTATTTTTTTCTGTCTGTCTCACTGACTGTCTCTCGCTCTCACTCTCCCACCCACCCACTCCCCTCCTCTCAGTATTACTGCATCATTTCCAGCAGTAATGAGTGCACCAGGAGCAGGGAGATAGCAAGGGAGAAGGGAGGTACTTTAGGGAATTTGAGTGTTTAAAATATACACAACGGTTTTTCTCTTGTGGATGATCAGTGCAAATAGCCCCCCCACCTCCACCTTCGTCTGCTCATACACCGAGTATAACCTGAAGATTGTAAATCACATTGCATCACACATCTACATACTGTGTGTTTTCTGAACCCTAACATTCGAAGAACATTATTAACAAATGCAAGGGAGCTTCTTTTTTCAATCACAATGGAGGAGCCTTAAGTGTTTGTGCCATTGTTTTTAGCATTACCTGATTGTTCAGGATACACTCATTACTGCTGCTGCTTCGCTCTCAGTGGCGCTCCAGGACACAGAAAATACATTACCTAGCAGTGCTTAAGTTTATGAGACATTAAGTAAAGCTTTTGCGAGAAGATAGTATGGAGGTAATTTCCTGCGTAAAATTGGTTTCCTTTTTCTTGTGTGAGGAAAGAGTATTCCCAGGTGGTGAAGTGGCTGAGAGAAAGCATAAAGACAATGTTTCCATCACTGACACAGGATGCGTGCAAGTGCAGGGAGGTGGTCATAAATGTATCTGTAGGTGTCTGGGTGTGGACATGAGTGTACTGGTGTTTTCTCCACTCAGACTTTATTGTCATTAGGGAGTTGTGCTGATATGATCTGCTGAGGTTCAGGCCGGTGGTAGCAGGAGGAAATTGGAGCGACGGGGTGATGTTAGAGTTTAGATCGCAGAGCAGTGGGAAACCAAAACAAACTGATAATGCTGGCCATTGGGACAGGTCATCATCAGTACAGCGAAACAGCCACACACCTACATACACGTACAAACACACATTGTTGACCCCAGGGTTACAACGAACTGGTTATAAATCCTGGACAGCTTAGCAGAAAGCAAATCACTAGAGAGAGTGGAGTCCGAATGAAAAAAAGGAAAACTGCTGGACTCATGTAACAGCATAAAGACAAAGAAAAAGACAAAAATACAAGATCAGCACAACAGGGCCGTAGCCAGCATTTTGGTTCTAATAATAGTACTAATAGTGAATCATATGTCCCCCAGGAGAGCTGGAACACAATAATTTAAATCTTAAAACTGTTTTGATTATTTGGGTTGTTAATATTTCACTTTATTTATCTTTTATTCTCCAACCTGAGGGTCTCTGTCCAGTGAAAACCATGGTCAGCTTTTCATAAGCTAACAAAAACAGTCCTGTTTTCAGCTTTGATTTCTTTTCTTGATAATTCAATGGGTTCTTAAGTGGCTTGGAGATGGAGTTGGCATTCACTGGACAGCGACCTAGTACAGTATCAGATATACAATTCTGGTATGGAAGTTTATTTATATATGTATTTTTGAAACAATTACTAAAAAATGAGTAATAAATTAAGATGTAATAAAACAAATTGGAATCAGCCAGTAAAATATCTACCGTAGAACGTAAACTCTTCCAATGATCCTAAAACCGACAAGATTTCAAGAAGAATACAAAGAACAAGACCACTGTGTCCTCAATAGAGTCCAAACATTAAAACATATTAATACAAAATGTTATACAGGTAGAAACTATTATTTCTTATAGCCTCCCTCTTTAAATTCATACCAATGACAGAGAGATTAAAAACCAGATGATTTAATGATAATGCTTTGAGATAGTTAACATGTGATATTTGCAAGAAGCCTGTAACGTAATATCTGAGAGATGTCCCTGATGTTTTGTACACTTGGCACTTTAACAAGAGTTCTCAGCCAATATCGGCCTCAGAAAGAATCAAGGAGACTTCAATTTTAAGCTTTGCTTCGGCTGGAAGTTTGAATAAAAGTTGTTCAATAAAGAAATCCAAGGTTAGATCTCTATTTTAAAATAAGTACTCTCCTATTCTTTATTAAAATGACTCAGACCTACTAAGAAAAACAGGGCTGTTGAGGTCACCTCAGAAAAACCCAAATAAATTAAAAGATTATGTAAAAACAGACAAAAACACACACAGGAGCAAAACTCTGCATGTTGTACACACTTGCATGGTCTGCAGACACACTGTGTCACATTTTCTCTCTGTCTCACATCACACACAGCCACAGTCCACTGACCATTACAGCAGATGGGAAATCCATCACAGGGGAACGCCTGTCCACGCTCTCCTGAGAAACCAGAGGGTCACCATACTAGTTTAAACAAAGATGTTAATACAAGCGGGTGTCTGCACACAAATGTGTGTGTGTGTGTGTGTGTGTGTGCGTTGCATCATAGAAGAGGAGGCCATAAGTCTATTAATAGGCCCGTATATAATGAGTATGGTATAGACAGATCCATGCTTCATTCTTTCTGTGTTTACTGTAACAGCGAGCCGCAGAGTCCCCGGGGACAAACCTCTCATGTACGAGGGCATGCAGATAAAAACAGCACCATCACACACTCGCTCAGTCATAACAGATCAAAACCAAAATGCAATGTTGCTTTGGATAACATAGCTGTGAGGCTGGTTTGTGTGATGCGGGCATCTACAAAGGGCTGTGGTTTGAGAGGGCTGAGAAGTGGCAGGAACCTGGCCTCGAGGACTGGACAGAAACTTGGTAAAGTGTAGGAAAATCCTGCAGAATGTGAGAATGAGTAGGCTGTAGAGGAGCAACAGTTTGACAAAGAGTAGGAGGCTGTCGAGGAGAATATGTTTGCAAGAGCTGCAAAAATGGATCAGCCATGTTTGTATTAGAAGTGTTTGGAAGTTCAATTGGCTCAGAAGCAGTAATAGGAGCCAAAAAGTTTTTGGTTTTTTGCAAGGTGTCCTTTGGGTGTTTGTTGAATAAAAGATGCGATAAAAGAAAGTTTTGTTAGGGTTCCTTTTTTCTGAGCATCAAAACGACAGCAGCACTTCTCAGTTATTTTGATTTAGTCACTGGTGGCAGGTATTTAAAGACCCTAAAGCTGAACTGATAGCTGCACTAAATCTAAAGATTGTTGACGTGGGTTGCCTATCAGAGAGAGACATTTTTGTTGAGACATATCTCATAGGCGACAGGTGTCCTACCTTAAATAAAGCTGGAAAATTGATAGCAAAATGAAAGCTGTGCTGACCTGAAAGGATATTGTGTACCTCTCTCTGGCTGCAGAAAGCAAAGTGGACTTTTCTTCCCACGTTGTGACTTGCCCCCTCTGTGTCCTTCTACCTCATGTTTACCTCTAAAACCCAGAGCTGTCTGTAGCGTTCAGTGTTGACGTTGAGCACAAAAGGCACCCCCTAATCCCGGGCTGAATATGCATGACGCGCCGCGCAGTGCTGGGGGTGCTCGCACTTGAATAGTTTCAGCACCGCGTTGGTGAACAGCGCCATACGTCGCTGACACAGACTGAGGCTCAGCTGCAGCGAGTTCCGAGCTGCTCTTTGACGGCACCCAGCGCAGTTTGACAGGCCGAGCCCGGAGAAAGACCCTTTTATCTGTAATCAAATCATTACCCCCCGAGGTTGCAACTGAGTGAAGTTTCCTTTCCCCCCGACGATACCGACACCTTGTAAAAAAAGCGTTGCGCTTTCTTTGATGTCCTCAAAAGCAAAAAAGGGAGAGAGAGAGAGAGACA